CACTATAACATGATAATACAATATTTTAAATATCACACGCCATTGAGATTTACGGTTTTGTATCAGAAAGCTGAAAATATTTCTGACTAAAATTTTGATGATAGATGACGGCCATTCAAACTGAAATATTGCTGAACCCGAAATGCGTCATTAGTACAGTTATATGTAAAGAGATACGGACAATTTTGCTTAAAAACAAAAAAAAAATCGGATTCCGAGCGAATGATGAAGATGATGAAAAAGTTGACTAACTTTGTCAAGAAAACCCCAGCGACAAAGCACTAGAGACAAATTAAAATTTATACACGGCTTTCTCCGTCCGCAGCCGCTTTCGGGAAATACTTCAGAGAGAAAATACTGAGCGTCAGCGGTTGCCCTGAAGTAAGTTTTAATTATTAAATATTTAGCAAATTTCAACTCTTCGCTTACTTTTACAAAGAATTTCCATTAAGGTAATATTAAATTGGAATTTAAATGGGACTGTAAAAAAGAAATATAATGAGGACAATCATCAAACCTGGCTTAAGAAAATCGCGGAATTAGCGGTTCAATAAAATGTCTCAGTTGCTTAATCAAAGCTTCCATTTCAACAATAGCCAGATTGAAGGGTAAACTGTCGTAAACGGCGACAGATAAACCGCAAGCATTAATGGAGCCAGACCACACAATATACAAATGAATGTGGGTTGTGCTATGGAATTTAAGCTTACATCATAACAATATTATTTCTGATTTTCAAACGTAAACAACTATTATATGAAAGAACAACATTTAGGCAATACATCGGCCATGGGTAAATATGGCGGAATAAGTACTGATAATTAACAAGAATCGAAATTTACCGAGATACTAGTACTTTCTTTTCAATTATTTTGGTTAAATATTGGTATTAAGCTTCCAAAAAAACAAAAAAATATAAGGTTTTAAAACTGCAGCTAAGGAAGTTTAGCAATATTTCGAACTGACTGAAAGTAAATATATTAGAATTTTAGACTATTTCAAAACGAATAATAATTAATTATNTATATTTTAATAATAGTTATATAATTTCTTGTTAAAGTTTTCAAGATTGTATAAAGTATAATTTTATTAAATTATACAGTAATATATATATATAATAAGGTTATATATATAATGTCAGAAATGGAATAGGAATGTAGAGTTTGGATTAGTGACGAGTTAGGTTAGATTAAGTTGGGGAATGTGAAGGTTAAGAACGGTTAGGTTACATAGGGTTGGTTTATAGTTTTGGAAAGGAAAGTTTAGATTATGGTAAGAATTTTAAGGTTAGATAGCATTAGGGTTATGGACGGGTTATGTTTGATTAAGTTAGAAATGGTTAGGCTTGATAGTGCTTGAGTTAGGGTAAAGTTAGATTATATTAGGTTAGATATAGTTTACGTTTTGCTAGGTAGGTTAGGCTATATCAAGTTGGGAATTATCACGGTTGAAGGTTGGAGACGGGTTAGATTATGAAAAGTTAGGGTAGGCAGAGTAAGAGGTTGAGAGGAGTTAGATTAGGTAAGGGGTAGTATTAGGGTTAGATTTAGAAGTTAGGTTAGGGTCGATATTCTTTTTTAAAAAAATTTTCGTCAAGTTGACTATTCGACTTCTTTTTTTACGAAGTGTTTCTTGGATTTATCGCAAGTGCTTAGTCATGTTCCGGACTAATATTGAAATTGTGGCCCACGTGGGCATCGCGATCTGTTGGATTCAACCACCAGGAGGCAAACGGTTTTCTTTCCTTTGCCCGTTAAACTTTTCCGTCTACTCATCCTCTTTCACCGCATTTCTCTTGAGCGAAAGAAATCATGGAGCCGAGGTTCTATATTATATCATTTTTATGTTTTCGTGGGAGTTATGAAATCCCCCCCGCCAAAAAAATAAGGTTAACATATTAATAAAATACTGTAATTTTGCTTTGCATGTCTTAAATAATAAAGCTTCTTATCCAACATACCGCGAAATATAAATAATTTTCATAAATGTAAATTGTTGTGAATGTACTTAATTCAACATTTGAACAATTTCATTCCTCGATTAGAACATACAATTTAGAGAAATATTTGTTTGCGCGAGCTGGTAAACACCCTTTGGTGTCCACTCAATTGAGAGAAACTTTTTTTCTTCTTCCTTTTTGTTCCAATTCCCATTTACGATTTTTCTTTTTTCATTTAAAATCGTTTGAGTTTCTGCTATTTTGTTTCCATCTGGTAACGAAGCATTGTCCCGAAAGCGTTTTATTCCGCCGGTTTGTCCATTTTATAGACCCATCGAAACGTACAAAAGTTGTTTGCTTAACGCGGTGATTTGCTGGACAGGAAGGAAACAGAACAGTGGACATCAAGAAAAAGGTCCCTCAATTTAGAATGATCAATTATTGACTTTTTATACTTCTTGGGTTTCTTTTCAGTACTAGACAACCATCGAATTCATTTTCTTTTTATTGATATCGAATCGGGGGCTTCATCAGCCTCGTTTCTTTGGGGAAACACGTAACCTTAGTAGTTTTTATTTATTTACACTATTGTCTCTAACTCTGATATTTATTCAAATTCACTATTTTTCGTGGTCCGCTTGACCAATTAGGAGGGAAAATTCAGAAGGTGGGGTTGAGATGGGAAGTTGGTGCCCGAGGGGATCGAAGTCACGATAGCTCAAGAGGTAGAGTAACGGCGTATGAAGCCGAAGGTCGTCGTTGGTTCGAATCCCGTTCGTGACATTGACTTTTTTATCTCAACTTAAAACCTTAATTAATCTGACATTTATTTTACGGAGCTTTGGCGTATTACTTTTAACCATAGGTGTACGGTTAATATATATGTTCTTTTCACAGGAATTTTTTTTCATTTTTCATTTACGTATTTTTCTTATCTAAAAATTTTATTTTTATTGCTAATTGTATTAAGTAAAAAATAAATAAATAAAAAGTCAACAACCAGGGAAACAAGAATAAAAACATATATTATATAATTTAGTTTTGGTTGACATAAAAAAGTCAGTGTCACGAGCGGGATTCGAACCCACGACCTTCGGCTTGATACGCCGCTACTCTGCCACTTGAGCTATCGTGACTTCGATCCGCTCGGCCACCAACCTCCATCTCAACCCCTCCTTTTTACCATTCGGTCAATCGTACCACGAAACCTAAATTAAAGTTAAATTCGTCTTGCCAAGACAATGTTTTTAAAGACTGTATATTCGTGATTTTGTTTTAAAAAAAAATAAGCTCAGTTCGTCATAATTCATAAGCGAGTTTAACTTTGGCCCGATGAACACGTACCAAATTGGTAATCTGAGATGGTCTGGATATTTCGCGCACGTCAACGGAAATAAACCGACTTTTAAATCACTCTGGCAAATAAACCGGCCCTATTGTAACACGTAAATTGGGATTGGCCCTTGGGAAAGCCGTGATAAGAGAGTTACTGTACTCGTTCATACATCAGGTCAGACGTGTGGAATTTTTTAATTTTAAAAACTGTCCTGGGTCGTGTCCGTCGGAAAACTTTATGAGCCGGATTCTCCGCCAGAGGGGAATTTCATTGGATTTTCATCTTTTGTGTAATCAAACCCTTATTTAAACCCTGCCCTGATATAGGAGCTATTGCGCAAAAAACGTAATTAACAAGAAAAACTACAGTTCTAAAGTCACTATAAAAATTTCATATGATCGATAGAAAGATACACAAATACACGATAAACTCACGAAGTTCGTGTAAGCAGAGAGTGCAAATAAGATAGTAAAACGTTGGTCAATGTAATATAAAAATGATGCCATGATAGACGATCTCTCTAGCAATGCAGAAGCCTCGGAAATGGCATCAATTCAATACTGCTTCAGCCCCTGTACAATATGGACCATAACTGGCTAATGGCATGGGGATGGTTACCCTTGGCCAGGATTGGGCTAATATGGTCTCTATGGACGATACTTGCTTACTTTTCCTATACCGTTATGGATATCGAAGTCGAGAAAATCGCTGCTGTTGCGCTGTGATTGGCCAGGGTGTATAATTGCCATTTACATGTTACTGACAGATACCTGGTTAAAAAGACATAATGACAAAGAAAATGGTGGATGGTACCAATTCACCGCATCAGAAAAGTTGCAATTACCTTTGTACATTACTTACCATTTTAGAGAGCATTTATAAATAACGCACATAACGCAAATTTGGTGAATTTTTGACTAACTTTCCCGTCTGGTAACAATGTCCCAACCAATGATGGCCCAGTGTGTGGACGCGTCACCTGTACACAAAATCCGGCAATTTGAACCCAAGGAATTATGGATAGATAAATTTGGTTAATGCGAGCAGTGAACCACGAAAAAGAGCTGATTCTCATTGAGTGAGCGGTTTTGATCTTTCTTTAAAAAGGACGGTTTTTCCCATCTCTCTTTGTTACAAAAATCAAGGGAAACAAAGAAGCTGACTGTTCACCATCGGGAAATCGTTCAAAGAATTTAGATAGATTAGGGCCTCACTTCCCGTTCTACTTTCGATATAAGCTGATTAGACTGACACGAGCACCACAGTCTTTTCAAAGCACGTAAAGTAAACATTAGAGTCACATGGCAGATTTTCCCTAGAGGGAAAGCACGTGTGAAGTGTCACGAGGGCGCGGTTTGTGTACATACGAGAGGAAAAACCATAAAAGCCATAGCTTGTTCACACATCTATTTTAAAACGAAAACAATAAACAAGATACGGTACTGATTTTAATTATGTCTATACAAATATATCTGTCTTTCTGTGCATCCATTATTTTAAATTGTGTTAAAAGGCCCAAAAATAGCTAACGGTAAATATAAGCGACGAAAGAAATAATCACAGCAGAATTCGTATGGAAAGAGGCATACTTTCCAATTAAGAAGTTATTCTTGACTTTTCCAGTATGGCAGCAAGAAACTAACGTATTTTGTCCTTATTTATATTTATATACCCTTAAGCTTGTTAAGTATGTAAGAAAAAAAAATTAATAGAGAAAACACTCACTCTTCTGCACGTCGTAGAGTCTTTGGGCGTTTGGTCCGAGGCAACCGTCCCGAAGATGGTGGGCTGAAAAAAGATAGACAACGTTAATTGATATAAGTCCATATATGCATTTAGCGGTCATAACTGACCTATTAATTATTTTAATTAATTATACTTTTAATCTCAGTTCTATCTAACGTAAAGTAACCCCCCCCCCGTTCTAACCTCATGAGCTATCGTGATTTCGACTTGGAAAATATGGCAAAAAGAGAGAAAATTCGAAACGTTGTAGATTTCGATGAGGAGTTGGTGTCAGGAAAGGGGCGTATTTAGTATCATCGTGGGTTCGAATCCCGCTTCAGACACTTGCTTTTTCATCTCAACCAAACATCAAACATTAGATTAAAAGTATAATTAATTAAAATATATATATATATATATATATATGTGTGTGTGTGTGTGTGTGTGTGTGTGTGTGTGTTGGGGCTGGACAAACGACTTTATTAAAAAGTAAACAAATGTACTATAATTTAGTATCTCAAAGAAACAATTTTAATTTAAACTTCACACGTCTTTTTCGTCCTTCAGATTTTCTTCTCTTCGAGACTCTCTATAACCTTCTTTTCACTCCTCATACGTCACAACACGTCCCCACCCCCAATCACACTCCACGTCATCACACACACACACATACGTTTTTCTCTGCCGATGTCTCTAGTTCCTTCCAAACCGCTTATCCTAAAGCAAAACATATTTTGTCAACCAGCAATGCACCCACTCATACGTACAAAATTATAAATTCAACTTCAGTTTGAATTAACTCATTAACTCGTTCATTTTGTGTGTGGGAGAGAGAGAGAGAGAGAGAGAGAGAGAGAGAGAGAGAGAGAGAGACAGAGTTTACATCCCTCGTGTACATCACGTAGAATACATATATTTATAATTAATATAGTCCCTTTTGCAGGCAACGGAGCGTATTAGTTCACACGACTGCACATGTCATATTTAATAATTGTACAGAGGTTCACAGAATTTAAACGAACAATACATAGTGTTATAATTTCGTACTGATCAATTTGCACCTTAAGATAAAAGAAACCTAAACATGAGAATTAATTATTAATTATTACAAATTATATATAAACAATTTTACGAAATTAAAGCGCTAAAAATGATCTGGAACAATTATTTCGTGTTCCGACTGACATAAGGTTAAAGGTGGACATGTGTAAAAAATAGTAATTGTGAATTGTAGTGGTTGGCAAGTTTAGGGAGTGTCGGACATTCCGCTTTCCCTTAATGAACCCTTGGGCCCTTTAATAATTCATCACTTATCTCCCGGAATTGCAACGCTTTTTGTTAACTCTTAATTCTAAGCGGACAGGACCCTCCAATTTTTCTTAACGACTTCCCTCGGCGGAGAAACAGCACGGGCCTCTCGAATCAAAAGTTCCATTTATTTTCAGACCAGGAAAGAGGTAAAAAAAACTTGGAATAATTCTATTCCAGAAGGAAATGTTATGCCCTGTTTGTGCAACTTATTCTCCACGTTTCAACAATTCTATTATGTTTATATAATAATAAGAAATTCATAGATGAGCAGTTTCATATTGCATGCTACTAACATGTTAACAGATAATAATAAGCAGTTATACAATTAATTAAGGTTTTTAGTTGAGATAAAAAAGTCAATGGCAAGAGCGGGATTCGAACTCACGATCTTCGGCTTGATACGCCGCTGCTCTACCACTTGAGCTATCGTGACCTCGATCCACTCGGACACCAACTTCCCATCTCAACCACACCTTTTGAATTTTCCCTCCTTTTTGCCTTTTTTTTTGAATCCCGCTCATGCATTGACTTTTTTATCTCAACTGAAAACCTTAATTAACTGTATGATATTAATTGGTCAAGCGGACCACGAAACTAGTGAATTTAATTAATAAGCAGTTATTATTTCCTTATTTTATGAGTTTAAAACCCGTCTGTTAAATTGTATCTCCTTCAATCTGCTAATATGTCCCTCTATCAGCAACCAAGGCTATCGTTAACTGACTTAACTTTATCGACAGACGACTTAGAACCCCCACACTCGACTTAAAAGAATAGAACCGTGCAATGGTTACGTACTACTGAAACGAATGCTTGACAGATTGAAACTCTGATTAGAGCACTAATGAACTGTGGAGTTCTACTAAGAATTCCAACCTACAAAGAAGCTTCTCCAGTTTAAAATCCTTTAAGCCATCGCCCAAGCCACTTACTTCGTATCCAATCTTACTATCCAAACAGACCTCCAAACGCCTTCTTCAAAACTGCAAGGAGTCGACACAGATGTCTCCATAAAACCCTAATACCTCATCACAGCCATCTAGTCCAGCACATTTCAACACGAACACTCCCCGACAATCCTTTAATGCCTCCTTTACACAATGGCCATAGTGGTCGTAAAGGTTGTAAAAATGGCTGCAAATAGTGATGAATCTTGGCTCATCTACGTACAATCAATACACTCGTCGACGAAGACGAAAATAGGTCACTGTGTTGCCCCCGCGCAGGCTCCTTTTGATGCGATAGGAAAATCTGCTCCCAAAGCCAACTCTCGCCATTACCATCACACCATTGGCCACTGCATGCAAACCTACACATCACGCAATGGCAAAGGCCTTAATGGCTGATTTGGGCTATTATGTATAGGTGGTCGAGAAGAATGGTTAATGTGTATGTATTTGTCATGCGGTCCGGGTTCGAATCCCTGCGTACCTATGATTTTTTAATTGAAAATAAGACAAAAAATGTATTGTAAAGTAAAGTAAACGTTATGCCCTCCTGTATAAGAATACCATTTACTTACTATTGGGTTGTCCGGAAAATAATGCAGGATTTTAAGTTTTCATTAAAAAAAATCTATATAAAATATTCTGTTTACTTTTACAGGATTACTCATTTGTATGAATNGAAATTATTTTGATTAAAGAACATTGCTTTAAAGTAACTAGTTTCTTTTTTTTTGTTTAATACCAAAATCCTGCATTATTTTCCGGACAACCCAATAATACGGTCTTAAGACGCCTAAAGCGCCAATAACCCTCGTAATTTCAAAAGTGAACAGTACACAGTTAAATATTAATTCTCCGCCTTAATAATGTTGTAATACAAATTTGTAAACATTGGCCTCCACAGCTCCGTTAACAATCTACGTCCTAAAGCTAAGATTATCGAACACATGCAGGGGTACTCCAAGGAAGTATCTTAACACCCTTCCTCTACAAGACGCTACCTAAATGATATACCCTTCCTGAAATTTTCCGTGCCACTTTGCGCATCATAACGTTATCCGTTGCTATCTTAAAGTCATATAAATGAAAAGTCGTGTCACATTCCTTGAACAATGATAATCAAGTGGTGAAAAATGATAAACTTACAAAAATATGAACATGTCACTTTCATCCTTCGAAGAGTAACCTGTCACAACAGCAACTATGTAAATGAATTGATCTAGATATTGAGCGGTTTCACATTGAATTCACTCGCAAAAGAAGGAAAACACATTTGAGACTTTTTAAAAGGTGGACAAACTCACACAAATTTGTGTTTCAACCAAACTCCCAAACTCCATCGAATCCAATCTTCCGATCCATGGTCAGTGCTGTTTCTATTTGGCCTACCATACCATTCACAATAACCTTAATATTACATATGCCCTGAAATAGCCAGAAATAGCTACTATAAATTTTTATCGTGTTATACAAACCCTTATATCGCAAACCTTTTATCCTATATTCATGAAAGTAATCCTCCTATCACTGATTTCGAGGCCAGTATTTCTGAGCTATTAGGTTCGAATATACCTGAAATACCTTTTGACATTTCATCAACTAAATGAGCTAACTCCCCATGAAGGTTATATTATGCAAAACGCAAATTATCTATTGTGTGCAAGGCATTGTGGAGAATGTTAGCAGTGTGTATGGATCGTTGTATTGAAAAACAAGTCCTGGATTTTTCGAGCAGTATACAAGTTGTGACGGAAGTATATTAGCATACTCTTCTGCGTTCATACTGACTTCGAGGCCGACAAGTTTTCTCACCCCGTGGTAAAGCCACCCCCAGAAGCTGCCCCCAGCGTATACTGTTTTTGTAAATTGCTCGTTGCGCCTTTGCCAGATTGTTTTGCTACAGTTCGGTCGAAACAAACTAAACTTATCATTTTATCTTTTCCCCAAACCTTCAAGGTTTTGTAATATATTATATGGGAAAAGCAACGCACTTTTGGCAAACAGCTTGATCCATGAACTTTCTCCAAAGACTAATGGACGATATCAACCCCCCAGGCGCTTATTGTAGGATTTGTAAGAATTCTTTTTTTTTGTACTCGTCGGAAACCTAGATTGGACGCCCTTTAAGATGCTTCTTCTTCACACCTCTTAATGACGTACCTCACAGAAGAAAAACTCAATGCTAAGCAATCAAATTTGCTTGAAAAGTTTTGCCATTTCCAGAGAAAAATCACCTTTCTTTGTCCCATACCACTAATTTATTTTTAAATAGCTTGATATATCGATTTTTTCTTTTTACTTCGTAGCTTAAATAAAAGTAAAGTGTCATACAGGAGAACTTAACGACTAACTCAAATCCTGTGGATATGGACGATGGGTCAAGATTGTACAAAATTCATTATAGTTAGTGGCCTATTGACCAAATTACTTGTTTCCCTTAATTAATCTTTTATGTAAGGTTTGGTTTGAAATGAAAAAGCTAGTATAACGAGCGGGATTCGAACCACGACCTTCGGCTCAATATGCCGCTGCTCTGCCCACTTGAGCTATCGTGGCCAAAGTGGTAGAGCAGCGGCGTATTGAGCTGAAGGTCGTGGGTTCGAATCCCACTCTTGCTAGCTAGCTTGACACTAGCTTTTTCATTTCAACCAAAACCTTACATAAAAAGATAAATTTTACAAAATTTTAAACTAGTATTTTCAATTAAAACGTCACATATTCGAGCCAGGACTACGGCAGAAGTTGGTAAAACGAGCAATTTTACTTTTGTGGTGTTTCTGTATATCATTTGAGGTAGGCCAGATA